AGGTCATTGAAGTTGGAAGGGCTATTCGACGAATTCTGTTTCCGAGACATTCGAAAATCAAGACACCTAGAGGAGATACGTTCTCTCGGAAGGACTCGAGTTCACATGCAGAATGGATGAAAACGGATCCGCCAGTCGTGGCCTAAGTATTCACGGCGTGGATCGACCTCCGAGACTCAATTTTGATGGCACATTGTACATTCGACCTTAAAGTGTTGAGACTTGAGCACGCAACTCAAGGTTTTCTCACAGCAAGACGAGTGTATTGATTTGTGATACAAGTGGCCATGTGGTTGAAACTTTCGGAAGACTTGTGATCCGGTTGCCATGACGCACGTGCTGATTTGTCAGGAGTTCAGTTACGGTCGTGCCACTTGGCCAACACTTTGGACCACAACTTTTTGTACCTGTCGTAGCATGCCGCTGCTTGGGCGTACTGAAAAACGGTGAGTTCATTAGTTTACTGGAAATCCTCACGACTAATCTGACTTTCTACAGGTGATCAAGTACAAGATCAATTGACGCGAACAATTCAGCCTTCTTTGTGATCTGGAATCGCAAATCCTGATGACTGCTCTATATACCGAACCACCCAGTACGTCCTAACGTTCCTGCTTCAGATTTGAACTCATTGTTCTCGCAATCTTTTTTTGTAGCGTCATACCCCGAATCCCCGGGTGCGATCCCGACAACGTATTGTCTTTGTCTTTTTGCTTATTGTTATCTGTGCCAGGACCCACAGCCTCAGTCTACGCAGAATCACTGGGTGAGCTTAAAGTCCCTTCCTTCTGACTGTAATTCAAACTGTACACGATATACAGCTCACCGCCGCCCGCTTTCTATCGGTCTCGACGTTCCACAGTCGTCTTCACCGTTTCCCTCGCCTTCATCTTCGTTTCTACCGCCGCCGATCCCTGACAACCACGAGTTCGCGATGCGTTCTCCATACTCTGGCTGCCCGGCGTCCAAAGGGAGCATAGTAGACGTTGCAAACGGGGGTTTGAGTGGCACGGTGAATGGGAATGGGAGCTTGAGCGGGAATGAAGACGAGGCAAAGACACCCTTGCCTACTGAGCCTGAAAGGAAGCTAGAGGCTCTATCGGAGAGCTCCCCGAGTCCTGCATCAACAGTGTTTGAGTCGCGAGCGACTCCAATACCACCGCTGGCCACCCCGACGCCAAGGACAACACCGACATCAGCTTCAGAGCCGCCGGTTGCTGACTCTACCTCACCAACACTACATCCAGCCGCACCAGCACCGGCGCCTGCTGCCACTACCCCCACTGCCTCATCAATTACAATTCCCTCCACTTCTATGATGCCCTCTACCAATCCTCTTACACCGAACAGACCAGCCCCTCCTTCACCTGCCGCATCCCGCCGTGTCTCTTCCATGTCCACCTTCTCCACCCGCTCCCCCGTCCCTACAACATCCACCAACGTCTCCCGCGCCAACTCCATCCGGCGCTCCTCGCGTCTCTCAGCGAATACCAGTGCCCATATGCAGGCACAATTCTCCGCCTCAGTCGTACTTCAAATCCAAAGCTCGACCCCGCGCGTCTTGATCCACGTCCGTGACTTTGCGTTCGACAAGACGGACGAGCGGTTCCGCGGCGCGGGCGCTCTTGTCCCACGCGCGAACCATCTGGCGGTGTTACACCGCAAGCTTGCAGGGATGCCGGACGACGACGACGACGAGGAAAGTGAGAATGAGGCGGACGGGGAGGACATCAACGCCGCGTGGGATAAGCTCCGGGGCGGGTGGTCCTTGAATGGTTGGAGCGCGTATTCGAATTCCCCGGTGGATGGACAGGGACCGACTCGGGAGGAGATGGATCTGAACTTCGGTGGTGCGGGAGAAGAGGAGTACGAAGATGAGGGAGGAGAGGTCGAGGAGCCGCTTTATCCCGGGTTGTATAGGGCGGCGTACGCGTTTGTGCCGGAGGGGACAGCAGAGATGGCGTTGGTGGAAGATCAAGTCGTGCGTGTTGTTGGGAGGGGTGGGGGCGTAGGGTGGGCGGTTGTGGTTGATGAGAATGCGGGGCTGAGTGAGGATGGGGAGCCGAGGCATGCACTGGTGCCTGAGAGCTATTTGGAAGTGGTTAGACTGGATTGGGAGGACGAGCCTGAGGAAGAGGCTATATGATTTATTCTTCGTTTCCGATTTGCTCCTTTCGTGCTGTTGCTGCGCGTACTCGTTCGATCTTGGACTCGTCTATCCCACTCGCATTGCTGTTCGTTGTTCCTTGTATGCACATCATATCATTACTGTTCCTCTATCGTCCTAATATCCTGTTGTATCTTCGATACTGGAGTCCTTGTTTGTCGCGATCATTATTCCTTTCGTCTACGTGTCAGTAATTCTGTGCTATCCATCGTGCTTCATAATATGGGAAAATTTCTCTCATGACCAAGTCATCCTCTTCGAGTCTCATGATATTATATTAGAAACCTGATTCCAAAACTGGCCACTGGATGACAGGGTACACGTCTCACGTTTTAAGCTCTTTTTCCGATGCAGGATTTTTTCTCAAAGCTAGCGGAATTTTTCAGGCCCATGTCTGCTGATTTGACAGAAATCTCTTGTTATGTGACCTAATTGTCTTTTAATTCAATTGGAGCAATCGGAGCAGAGGGGTAGTTGTGTCTCGATGACTACCGGCTCGGCAATTACCTCTTCTTGACCTCATCTTGACGGATGAAGGTAACAGGAACAGATCGTATAAGGGTGGACAGTGGGTGGAGACCGTGATGGAGAGTGTGAACAAAAAGAGAAGGATATGAGGGTGAATGAGGAAAAGAGAACAAGAAAGGACCAAGAGCACACCTCTGAACATCCTTTATTCCTCTTTCTGTTACGAGCATCGCAGTCCAGGAGGACTCGGACACACCTGCGCCTGCATCTGTTGCATCGCTTGCCATGGAAGGAGGCCTAATCAGCCTCACAGGCTTAAACGAACATAATGACCTCCATGTCCAAGATCTTATTCAAGGATCTTATCTACCTCCTCAAATCCTCACTTGCTTAGTCTGTTCACTTTTCTCGGTCTCTATGCATCATACATCCGTGTCTCAACAGACAGCATATAGGTACCTATTATTAAGCGCCAACTGCTCCATCTCTTCTCCATCTCCATCCAATCCCCACTGCACTCTCAACCACATCCCAGGCCATGGCTGAAGAACCTAAGTCCAAAGTCCATTATGGCATGCGTCACGATAATGGATGCGCGATATACTTACTTTTCACCAATGTTGTGCAGTAAGTCTCTAGGATCATCCTCGACACAACCAGTACAGCACTTCGAAAATGGCAGGAATGGGTTCTGGGTGAGCGTGAAGAAGCGATCAAACATATCACTGCCGAGTTTGCGGACGTATCTCGTTCGTCATAACGAATCTAATCGACATCAGACAGGTACGACGTAGGCGTCCAGACGTTTGTCACTGTCAAGGTATGCATACATCCACCCTTTTCAGATGTTCTAACACCCGCACAGATAGTGGCCTTTCGGAAAAGCTATCAAGCAACTCTAAGCTCCTGCATGAGGAGATCGTCATTGTCACCAAGGTCCATTTGCGCTCCTGTTCCTTCGCATCACGATGTCGAAGCTCATCTTGACCTACCCAGGTGTACTTCACCATTGTGCCGTGAATACAGAACGAACCTCATGACCATTGGCGAGAGACCTGACTATGTTGGATATACCAACTAGCACGGGCTGAGTCGAAAGGTCTGTTTCTCTCGCATTTCCTACGTCTTCAACCCCATCTCAACGCTAGAATCATTTAGCACATCTTTATCTGGGTGGATTACCTCGATGTTTACATCGACTTTACATCGACGTTTTACAATGTACGTACACCTCTCTTTTCCTCTTCTCGCATCCATGTTCACATGTTATGCTCTAGGCCACCGATTTGACAATTTGACAACAAAACTCCTATCGAGGAAACCGTAAGTCCTTCCTTCTGTTGTGCATACTTTCTCTGATGGGTGAGAAATGAAAGCAGATGCAAGCACTCAGTGGACAATGCAGGGAGAGGCGGATCGGCATGTGTGTCTTTGTCTCCATTGCATTACTTTCTCCATTCTCCGTTATCTCTTCTCTCGTCTCTCCATCTTTCTTCTCTCCGAGTTGTCTAACCTCACGCGCAACAGGTTCTTTCATCAGTCCCTCGAACCACCCAGACGCTGAGATCGTTAAACGGTGTCTCACCCCTTTCCTTCCTCTGTTCCCTGTTCACTGTTCAGTACTCACTCAAGACTCTCAGCGTTGAAGAGCTTGCAATGAAAAAAAAAGGTCTATCGGGTTACATCAAGATGATGTGGCCCCTTTCGAAGTAGGGTGTTCTGGTGCCGATTGTCGACAGGCATGAGCAATTCGGAGGAGTTGATTGGTGAGTTTGAGTTTGTCGTTGCTGTTCTTATCCTTTCGTTCCGTGGTCTCGTAGTTGGAGGTTTGGTTTCTTCGGTGATGGTCAGCTGCGTTCATGCACTGTTTTCTTCGGTCGATCGTGCATCGTGCATCATTGGACTTTTTGGATTCCCTTTGTGTATTTTTTTTTTTTGACTCTCCCTGTCTTTGTCTTCATGGTGCGGTTTTGAGAGTTGTATGCTGACTGAGACGTTCAACGCACCTCTGTGTAGCGGTCGCACCTATGAAACTGACCGAAGAGGAAGTGACGTATCTTGAGTCATGTCGCACGGGCGCTGATTGGACATGCATAGATCATGGCATTGGTTACGGAGTTATGGACTGTCGAGCCTGTCGATAATTACATATAGTATTGGTATTAGTACGAATTTGTGTTGGGAAAACTTGAAATAGAACATAGTCTGTAACTGAAGGATGTGTTACCAGTATTCATTCTTGCTGTGGGTAATAAGTACCAAGGAACTGCAACTGAACTGGATAACATGAGCCCTTGCCACCGCAGTCGGAGGTTTCTAGATTTGTGTATCTTGTTCGGTGTCAAAAAATTACAGCAAATACCTATTCGGGTACGGGGAATCGAACCCCGAGCTGCCGCGCACGCCTTGATGAGAGGCGGCAATGTTAGCCGTTACACCATACCCGAATACGCCACCCGCCCGTGGTTGTGCCCTGTACAGGAGTTTGCTGCAAAGAGACGACGAGAGAGAGAGGATTGAGAAATAGGAACTGAATAATTTGGATATTTAACCTTAGGTCCGGAGGCCATATGCCCAACGGACAGACTGCAGAACATACTCGAGTAATGTGCAAGCTCGGAATTCTTGCCCTTCCTAGTTCCTCCAAATTTTCCTCTTAGATCCCTTGCTATGCCTGCTCTCCGATTCATGGACATGAGATATCGAGAGTCTCCAGGGCCTTTCAATCATTTCTTCCTTCCTGCTTTGGAAAATCTGAAAATCTCTTTTGGTTGTGAACACGATTATGACATCACCACCCTCTATGAGATGGTTGAACGCTCTCAATGCTCTCTATCCGAGTTTGAATTTTGCAACATGTGGTGGCCTGATTCAGGGAAACACTTCCCTCATACCATTGTCACCGCTACATCTCATATAGTTGATATTATCATTCTTTCTGCAACTAATCTTGACACGACCATTCTGCAGGAGATAGGGTGAGCTTGAGTTGGGAAGAGCCATTCTAGATATAGCAGACGCTGGTATACTTCAAAAGCTCTCTGAAGAAGGTGAAGAAGCATCTTACATTCAATACAATTATAGCCTGCAGATGGACTTGTCATCAAGTGCTCATTCTACAAGTTCACTTATCAGTGTCACTCACATGCAAGGTCAACGTATGTGCATGGGTTTGATACCCTTCCCTTAAATTGAGTTCAATGATTTAATATTGAAGTTGAAGTATTGCCTTATCCATGTTCGTGCTCAAGCCTCCGAGCTGTAAACATCTATGATTCTCAGCCATGTACATGTCCTCCCTTCCTCCTTCATTTGTTTGCGTGACTTCACATTCCTACCTTAGAGCGTCTGGTATCCGCTCACCTGCAACTCACTGGCACTTTCGACAAGAGGCACAAGTCCCTTTCCTGTGTTTGAGCCCTGAGGAGGGAATGAAGAGTGAGAAGCCTGAGCTGGATAAATACTTTTTTCTGATTCTGTGCTCGATGGCACGTTGATGGCTGACTCTGTGTTTCCATCCTCAGATTTAGGTGTCCTCGTGGATACATAGAGAACAAGAATGGAAGCCTAGTCCTGAGTACCATCTACAACGCGTTACCACTGTGCTGGATGATGGACTCGTGTGCATGAACATCGACAGAGATGGAGACGAGATAGCCAAACAGCCAGACAACAAGACGACGAGACAGTGGGACAATGAGCCAACAAGCCAACGAGCCAATGAACCTGCAAGACCAGAACTGACAACGATCGAAAGCATTGAGAGCGACTCAGAAGAAAGCCAGAAACTTGTCTGGGGAAAAAACCGTTTGTATTTGTCCCTAGTAAGCCTTTTTATACTTATTCTACATGATACTGGGATCACTGATCCCTTCCCAATTTTAGTATTGACTAGCGGTAGGTGTCGCAATTTACAAACTTTATTCTCAAGTTTCTTTCATTGCCCCATTGAATTCCCCGATTCCCTCCCTCCCTCAGCTCCCAATCGATCCCTCCCTCACCATCTTCCTGCGTTCGTTATCTCCTCCTTGAATATCCTGTCATTTTCTGACCACCGCTCAACGACTTCATTTTTTCTGGTTCCCATGTCAATCTCTGTCCTAGCCTGTTTCCGTCTGCACACCCTCCCCCTCTACCACACTGCTCTAATCTCATATACCTATTTAGAGCACTTGGTATCCGCTCACTTTCCAGCACATCAAGCGTGTTTTTGACAGGAGAGACATGTTCTTGGCTCAGGTTCGAGCCCTGAGGAAGGAATATGAAAGGCCCTTGCCACGTAGATATTTTTTTCATTCTCTTGACTCTGTTCTCTGCAACATGCTGAGGGGTGACTACTTATTCTTATTAACAAACAAAAACATTTACACCCTCTTTGCGCCTGCATTGTGGTAAGTTCGAGAACTTGTAACCCAAGAACTTATGTACTGTCGGAGTAAATTGGGTCAGCGCTGCACTAAGATCTGCTGGAAAAACAAGATTATACAAAACCCTCCTCTGGTCAAAGACTTGACTGGAGTTCCCTCCTCTCCATCCTCTCACCCATGAATTCCTGCCTGAGAATGACGCCTCCTTCATTGGTATGTTGTTGCCTCGTCTTCATCCCCAAACTCTCTACATCTAAATGTGGAGATTGAGACCACCAACCACACAACAAAATCGAAGTGTTGTTGTCTTATTGGATAATGGTGCAACAGGTTTATTCCTTGACATAAACTATGTGAAACAACACTGCCTGACTACTAGACCTCTCTCTCACCCCATCCCTGTATACAACATTGATGGCACTCTTAATGAAGCAGGATCTATCCGCTCTGTGGTGGATCTCATTCTGCACTATTGCTCTCATTCAGGACATGCTGTCTTTGCTGTTACTAGCCTGGAGAAGCAAGACATGATCCTGGGCTTCACTTGGCTTAGAGAGCACAATCCAGAGATCAATTGGTCAAAGGATGAGGTGCACATGAGTAGGTGCCCTCAGCATTGTTCTACTTGCATCAACGAGGTCCAAGAGGAGTGCAGAGCATTAGTCCATGAGCACGCTGCCATATATGCTTGTCATGTAGGGCATATTTCCTTTGCTGACATTGACCTGTTGGATCCTCCCTCTTTGGCGTTCCCTCATAGAGAGGCCCTCTACAAGGACATCTGGAGCATGGGAAGTGAAACCCAGCTGGAAGATGGATGTGAAGGTGAGTTTATCAGCACTCCAGACTCAGAGTCTAGAACCTTTTAGCTGTAAAGTATATCCCCTTGCTCCCTGGGAGCAGGATGAGCTAGATGTGTTCTTGCAGGAGAATCTCAACTCTGGACAAATATGCCTCTCCAGTCTTCTTCATTAGGAAGAAGGATGGATCCCTTTGTCTGGTTCAGGACTACTATGTTCTGAATGCAATGACAGTGAAGAATCACTACCCCCTTCCGCTTATCTCTGAACTAGTCAACAATCTCTGAGGTGCATGCTACTTCACTAAGTTGGACATTCATTGGGGCTACAACAATGTGTGCAACAAAGAAGGAGACAAGTGGAAGGCTGCATTT